GCACATAGGGCACTTTTTAGCTTCATTGAAATTTTCTTATCGTTTAACACACCAGACGTTTCTTTCCACTTCACCCACCTGTATTTAATCTTGTGTCTTACATCATCGTCATCGTCATCGTTAAGCATAAATATGACAAAATCAGATAAAAAAACCCAGCACAGGGGGGTCGACGCACAGTGTTGACGTGGCATAGTTGGATCAATTATAATGATATCTGACAGTGATTAAAATCAATATCAAAAAAAACGTTTCAATTCAAATCTTTAAATAGTGTTTACTTTTAAAACATTGGTGGATTATTACAAAAGCTACATGATCTGCTATTTTCTTATTAATATCCTGATTAAGATAAAGTATGTCGAATGAAAGATGTATATAAATACTACTTCTCATGAAAAAATTTTATTGATCCATACATTTTTTAAAAAGTTATAGCATTTTAAAGTAAAAAACGTAAAATATAAAATCGATAATTTTGACACAAAAATTGCATTCGGTAGCCATTTTCACCATGAAGACAAAATAAAGTCTAATTTTCTTTTTTGCCATAATAAAGTACATTATTTTAGCTTTAATTTAAGATATATATATAAAAGTATTAGACTTTCCGGAACACTTTCAAAAATTAAATTGAAAAAGTTAATTTTTTGTGAAAAGTTGTTATTTTAAATCCCTCCCGCGACCCCCCTGTGCTGGGTTTTTTTTTTATTTGTAAAATGAAATAAATACCATTTAAGTATAATGAAATAAATAAATTTGAAATTTTAGTTACGCTGAAAATTTTTTTTTATAATAATTATAATTATATATACTTTTTATAGTAAAAGTATAAACAATACAATTTGTTATTAATTATTTTTTAAAATAATTTTCTTTCAGGATAAAAGAATAGCTTAAAATAATCTATTGTTTTCCAAGTATAATTAGAAATACATAAATTAACTTTAAAGTTATTGACTCGTCAAATTATGTTTGAACAGCCATAACAATAAAAAAAACAAGACATCAAATCATTGAAACACTAATACAGTGAATGGTTAACCATTTTACATATATTATAATATGGAATTAAAAAAAACTTCAAAAATTATTTTAAACAGTAGCAATTAAATAAAAATGCAATAATTTATTTCAAAATAATTATTTCACTGAACACAATGAACGATTTTTTGATGAACAGAAGTAGATGTAGTCAAAAGATTTGCAAATGCTAATAACCGTGCAGTGTATGGCATGCCGGTGGTTTGCACTGTTAATGAATATTGAAAATAATAAAGGCGAAAGGTGGCCACCTTATAAAACACAGGATGTGCCTAGTTGGTTATTAGAATACTGCTAAGTATTTGCGTTTACTCATTATTTCCCACCTTCAATAAAATTACCTACCAATTGAATAGCATTGTGACATATCAAAATTATAAAATCAAATAGTGAGTACTACAGCAATATGTATTTTTAAAAATTCTATTAATTGGAAAATTAATAAGACAAGTACGAAATGCTGTATTCAGGATGAAGTCTGTTTTCCCTAAGTTTTTGGAACTTTTAAAGTTGTATGTAACAAATACCTGTAAGAAAAGAAAAGAAAGATCTGTCAAAGGATCACAAATATTTGAAACATCTTCAATAGAGGTAAGCGACTATTTTTATTATTATTATGTGTGATCATAAAAACTTGAATATTGAAAGATTATTGGAAGGCAGATTATGATAAAAGCTAGTTTTTATGCTGTTATACCAATAATGAAAACTAACAAATTACTAAGATTTATAAACGATAAGATAAAACTGCCACTTACGTAAAGTTGGCAACCCTACTCATATTCACCTATATTTAAAATTTATGTAACAAATCAAAAATGCATGAGATTTCTTCAAATTGAATTTGACGACAGTACACTTTTTAAATTGCACCCTCCTTAATTTCAGAAAACATTAAAAACTAAAGGACAAAAAAAAATTAATTTTTAACTTTTTTCCAATTATTTATAAACAAAAATGTGACTTGAAAAAAAAAAACCACTGTAAGTGAGTGAATGCCTAATTTACAGATCCGACCAGAAGTATTAGAAATCTTCCATACTTTGTAATCCTTTGCCATTATTATGCATTTATGCTAGATGCTTAACTTAAGTCTTCAAATATTTAAATATCTAAACGTAAAACACCTACAAGCTGAATTTGAACCAATTTTATACTTTTTTAAAATACGAATGTTATATTATTGCATTTTATAATTAATTTTCAACGCTTATTATTCATCATTAAAAATTAACTTTCATCAAAAATGTATGGAATAACTTTTAATGAGCTCTAGTAAACAGCCTCAATGATAAGAAATTTTAATTTGATAATCAATTCATATGGCAGATTTTAGATACACATTAGTTGAACTATACTTCAAAGTCACTGAAAAATAAAAGCTCATCCCAGTACACAATATTTATTATAATATTTTTAAACTAATCAAAGAAACAAATCAACTTTATCAGTAGAAAATATAGAGTTTTACACTAAATGTTTAATTAACTAGAAATATTAATAATTAGATCGCCTATTTACAATTTTTATTTATTTATTAAATTTCTATTTTGCTCCTATTTTACATTATCACAATAATACTGCAATAATATTTTCCCTATATTCGTGGTACTATCTTACGGATAGTTAGTTACTTGTGATGTGTACACAGCAGAAATATCTGTAATTCGTCAAAAATTCAAGCAAATTACTGTCTTTTTTAAAATAAGCTAACTTCTGCTATCGTAGTAGGAATAGAAATCTTATTTCTAATATTAAATGACTTATTTAGTTGAACCACTTTTAAACTTGAAAGCGGGAAACATTTTTAACTTCGTTACATTTTTCCGACTTTTCTTATTTTAACTAGTTAAGCAGTGTTGTAAGATTTGATTGATTCATAATAAATAACTATTATGCTATTATATTTGCTACAATTTAATTTGTTGATTGTAAATCATACATTTATTTATATATTTAAATATTGATGTTAATAACAATTTTTTTTTATCACTTTATCAGTCCATTAAGGGCCATAGTGGCCTCCCCCAAAGAAGGAAGTTTCTTAACCATTGATACTCCGGGACGGGTGGTTAGTTGGTCGTTGGAGAGAGGGATGACAATAATAACAATATAATATGAGATATTCCCTGGAGGTCATTTCAAGCAAATCATTGCTCATTGTTAATTAAATTACAAAATGAGCTCAAAAAAATTAAAAATTAACATTTGAATTATAATGAAACTAACACTTGACTGTTTATTATTGTTAAATTTTTTTTATTAGAAATGCTGTAAAAATTTAAACACTGATGCGTACTAGAACTTTGCTATTTACCTGTTACATAAAAAAAAGTGCTAAGGTAGTAAAGAAAAAATAAATCGATTCATTACTACGGTCACTGAAAACAGTTCTAATAGTAAACATTAGGCAAATTTCTGATTGAATAATAGTATTCAATTTAATAATTTTTATTACACAGAGATTAAAATCAACATAATTTTATAAAACATTTTTTTAATTTATGCAAAACGTACATATAAAAATATTTTTTCTAATCTAAAATTAAAAATTAAATGTACATATAATTTTAATAATTATTTAATAAAAGAATGTTTTAAAAAACAAGCTAGAAAAAACTTTCAGTGCATTGAGATTATTGCCATTGTATCTATTATTTTTATAAAAGTAAAATTCACTTATTCTTACTATATTTATTTCTTTTTATAAATTACATTATAATATAAATCACATAAAACAATAAATGTATTTTAATTTAATTTTTTTTCCACGGTAATACAATTATTGTATTACTGTAAAAAAAAAATACTTCATGGTAACACAGATAGTGTTGATTTATGAAAAAGAGAGTAGTTGACCTCAGTTTATCACCCTGTATAATTATTACTGCCTTTTTTTAACATTTCAACTTCCATATTGTATTACAGTAGAAGATTTTACGGATTAACAGTGTTGTTAAAATGAGATTGATGCGATAACTGTACTTTAAAATCACCATAAAAACTCACGACACAAAGCTTCTAAAGCTTTATTTTTTTATCGTTAATCGTTAATAAAATTTACATTTCGGAATAAAAATTATTTATTATAATTTCGTACTTAGACATTAGATAAAATAAAAAGGTTTGAGATAATTGAATTTCACCACTGTGCGAAGAAGTAAAGTTTTAATTTTTCTAAGTTTTATTTTGACCCACAAATTCATATAAAAAATGCTCAGTTTATTGAAAAAAATTTTTGATTATCTATTTATAAACAATAATAATGAAGTTTAATTTTTAATTTTTTTATACTTATAATTTAATATGTGCATATTTTACTATCAAAAAAATTATAGAACTATTTAGCTTTACAAGTAAGTTCTCATTAACGTACTTTAAAACATTTTTTATACATTAAAAATTTATACTAAGTTCATAAACAAATATTAAAAATATTTTTATATTATTAATAAAAAAAATATATATATATATGAGTTGCCACGAGAGGTTATCTCAGCCCATAATATATTTGGTATGTCAAAAATAAAAATAAAATGTAATATATAATTATTAAGTAAATAAATTAGATACAGTAGAGTAATAAAAATTGTTGATTTATCGAAAAACAAAAGATAAATAAAATATATTAATATTAACTTTATTAAACTAATAAATTTTGGATATAATTAAAATTAAAGTTCATTATACATTTATACATTTGTCTATTGTTATTGAAACAATTTTTATAAATCATATCAATTAATTTAAACATTTATAAATGATGAAATTATTATAAATATAAAATTATATATTTGTTAATTGCTTCTTTTTCTCTATTTAATTGGTCTCTATTTTATTCCGTGAAATTTAGGAACTTCATGTGACAGCTATGTATTTTTATATGTACGTATGACTATACATTTTCAATCAAAATGTTAAAAAATATATGAGTTAATAGATTTATTATATTCATTAATTAACAAAAACAGTTCTTTTTGTTTAGTTAATATAATTATAGTATCAGCAATAATATGTTGTTTACTAAGATATGAAAAATATGTGGGAAAAAATTATCTCCTAGCATAATCTATCGATTAACGAATAATTAACGAATGTTACTGAAATTGTAAAATCTTTACTATTATTTTGAATTTCTCCTGATATAATTTTTTGTATGCCGATTAATAACGAGGACTGTACATGGCCCATTATATGTATATTCTACAAGTAATAGTAAAACAAATCTGTGATACGAAAAACTTTTATTTATTCAATTACTATAAAATAGCAGTTTGATATAAAATTGCATCAAGCTCATTAACACGAATAGCATCCTGATACACTTTAATAAAGCAACACAACCAAATAACAACCATTTGTACTGCTATATAAGCAAAACAGTACTTATAATTGTTAAATAAAACCATTTGTCAGCTTGATTGCTTCTAATATATTCAAAAGACATTTCAGTTAAAGTAATGAAATACATAAAAACTTATAATAGAATAAGAATAAGTCTGAAAAATTGTATACAGATAATCAGTCATTTATATTATTAAATGTTTGCAGTTATTACCGTAAATATTTAAGCTAATGGTTCTTAAACTGCTTTTAGTAAACAGATAAAAAATTGGTTTGGCAGAAATAACCCATTCAATTGAACATGTTAAATTTTATAATAATATAAATCGTGATTATTTTTTATTGATTATTAATTTATATATGTCTTAATTAATTGAGGCAATTCACTTTTTTGGAACAAATAAAATGATTTATATTTAAAAAAAATAGAGTAATTAACTCTAATAGTCAATAATTCAGGATTTATTGAACTACAAAATCGAGTAACTGATTTATTATTAGATATTTAATTATAATAATTGGATATTCAATTAATAATTTCATATATTATGAAATTTTAATAATTTTAGCAATAACAAATAAAAAGCAAACTTATTAGATATAATGTAGGTTCAAAAAACTCAAAACAAAAAACCCTATATTTGAATGGTATTTTGATTGCTTGGATACTATAAACAATCAAATGAATTTAAATGTCAAGTTTAAAATTTTTTACATTAATTTTGTCATGGATCACAAAATTAATTAACAATTAAATTTATTAATTAACAAAATTATCCAATTTAGATTATAAAGCGATAAAACTTAATTTAATACTAAATGTAATCACTTATTAGGGGGTTGTTGAGTAACTGGATTAATTATCTTACCTTCATGATTAAAATTATGTACAATGGCGATCAATGGTGGTCATACTTGTCATGACACTCCTCAAAATAGGTAACACACCATAGTTAAATAGGTATTAAATTATTTGGATGTCGTTTTTTCGTACCAAATTAAGAAAATGAAATGCAAAGCTATTTTTTTATTAAGCATTTTTTCATAAATTTAAAGTTTTATGAAAAATATATCTCTTAGAGAATAATTATATGGAACATTTTTATACTGGGCATTTCACTATAACAATTAGAGTAAAATACCTTCTCAAAATAAATTTCTTCGTCAATGACTCATTATAATTCAATTTTAAGCAATTTTTCTATATTTATAAAGAATTATTCAGGTTAAATTTCCAAAAGGTTCTT